CAGCTGTCTGAAAATTGTAGTTTATGTAAATTGAAAAGACAGATTAAATATTGCAATATGGCTGTAGAAAGAAAAAGGTTTAAGAAGGCTTACAGACAAAAAAAAACATTTGTGGAAGGTTGCCACCTGTTTGAAAATTTTAATTTAATTTAATTAATAAGAGAGGTTAAGGAAAGCTTACTGCCGAAAATATTTTTGAGGACTGTTGCCACATGTTTGAAAAATTGTATTCATTTAAATTGATAAGGTATCTTTAGCTTTCGAATCAAGAAATAAAAACCTGAAAATTTTTGGTACTTTTTGAAGTAATGCGTTTTTTGCTAATGCATAAAATAATTTTTTAAATTTTTGCTGAAAGCAAATAATAATTATGTCAAACCAAAGGTTTACGACATCATATTTGTTATTTTATTATGAAAACATATGTACAATTGCTGGACTCTTAAACTAACTCAGGAATCTTTTTTCTCTTCACTTATTTCTTGCTAAATATGTATTTTGTCTGATACCAAATTTCCCATATGATATACATATTTCAGTTACCTTATTCCTTTAATTAAAGTGAATTAGATTTTTAGATATGCTTAAGTGTCGTTTAGAAGTAAAATATTTTTAAACCCATTTCAATTGATACCCATATTGTAATATCTAATTCATTTAACTTATTAAATAATTTTAATAAAATTTGTAACAGGTGGCAACCCGTTTCAAAAATAAAAAACGTTATTGCACATCTACAGGCCAAACCCTGTCACTTGACGTCTCACTTTTTAAAATAGAACGAACTATATGTACATATCTATGTAAATGCCACAAGAACCCAAATTTTCAACTTCAAACTGCATTTACAGTGAAAGTGTGAAAGTTACCCAAAAACAAATTGCATTTGTGAATTAAGCGTCCTCAATTTTACTAAGAAGCGCATTTTCATAATTCTAATTTTACCCACATTTTATATGGAAGGGAAGCACTGTGAAACGTTCTGAGGCTTTGAGAAAAGCAATTGCTTTGTTTTTATTCATAAGACCCATTACGTACCAATGCGTGTAACACTGGAAGTGTTCGGTCAATTTACTACCTACAAGTACTCAAAATGGCAAACTTTGATGAGCCACTACGAACGCAAAGGTCATTATAAAATACGAGCAATATAAATTAAATCATATTTCACTCTTGATAAATCTTCCCGGCTTTAATTTTATGCACTTTTCATATTATCTTTCGTCTGCGTAAATGTCATTAATCCAGTGTTGCAAGATGAATTTTTAATTAAATACTTCACAAACAAATATTTCTAGACACATTTACACAAACAGTAGCAAAAAATATGTATAAGAAATCAAATACATACTTGAAAACTCGGTGACGGTTTTGACAGCTCAGTTCATTAAATATTGCTTGACACACTGGCATGCGAATGCATCCGCTCAAATACTCGGATCACTTGAGTGCTAAGCAAATGCAGCACATGCTGAAATAATTTATGTAATATTTTTTTCTTTTTCCACACACAAAGCAACGACATACATACGCAAGCGACGTGACATTTTTGACAAAAAGACGCACTCTAAGCGTAACTTACTGTAACTGACTTTTTTCGAGCGTGTGTTTGCTTTAAGGCTACTGAACCGATGTGGTTTTTAAAATGCGCCAGAGATATAGTATGGCATGCCAAAGAGGTGCCAATTTGCGGGGAAATACCATTTAGAAGCAAAATGAAATAAAAAAAAAAAATTGTAAAAGTATTAGTGTTTTTTTTTTTGTTTATAATTGCGGCCACAGTGTTGCATTTTCTGATTTATGAAAAGCCGACACTTACTACTGTAGCTTAGCACAGCTTAAGTGACAATATTTTTGAATTATTAGGTTGTCCAAAATGCCGCCATCATCCGGTCGAGCGATTAGTGAAAATGTTGCAAAAAGTTGAAATGTGATAAAACTGAGAAGTACGCAAAACAAAAATAAAGAAATAAAAATATCAAAAACAAGTGAACTAAAGCGTACGTTTAGCAACGCGCTTAATCTGTGTAAGATAGAAAAAATTAGAAAAAGAAATAATTTTTTAAGAAAACTACTTTCAGTTGACGTAAATGATAGCTAAGCCGGCGGCTTAAGTCTTTGAGTAATTGCAAAAAAAACTGGAGTGGTGAAGAGAATATAATATGCGTGCCAAAACTTGTAGATGGCGCCAACTTGGAAGCCTTGACTACATGAACATTAAAAGCAACTAAGTAATTGCAATTGCTTGAATCCGGAAAATATGATAAGCATTTAAGATTTTTGTGAGTTATTTGGAAATCGTGGCGATCACATTTTCATTAAATTTTAGCTGATGAAGGTATCAAGCAGTTTGTTGGATATTGAGAGCCATGCCATTAAGTATTAATTGCCTGTTTTCACTAAAACCTTAACTGCAGGTTAAGTGCTGAGGTAAGTGCAAATAATTTTAACATGGAGGGATTGGCAAGATTTATTTTTTGCTTCTTGACTTTAGGTTGCTTGTACTAAATATCAGCAACTACCACCTTTAAGCTGTGATCTCCTTTTTCTAATAGGCACAAACTGCAGTTAAGGCTTGGTGGAAATGAACTATAAGAGTTATAATTTTTTTTGCCATTTGATATTTGTCAACCAACCGAAATGATTCGAACGCGAAAGGGACACGACATATATTGCATTCCAATGCCACCAAAGCCTACTCATTTTTTTTATGGGCATCGTTCATGTTTCCGCGCAATTTCAATGATCGGGCACGATGAAAGATTTATTGAACGGGATTTTTTTATTGTTAAATTCTAGTTAGGCAAAGTCCTTTAACCATTCAAAGCTAAAACTGTCAACAGTGACGTATGTATGTTCCAATACCCAAAGTCACTTTACATACAGTAATGTGAAAAATAATAGGGACACGACATTTTGATTAGTTTCGGCTATTTTGCTTTTGCTTGTTTAATGTTTATTATTATTTTTTTTTTAGGTCCAAACTTCAAACTTTGTAGAAAAATTATAAAAATTTAACAACAACAAAATTTGTAGTAGAAATTTTAGAAAAACTCTAAGCATGCAGTTTAATAGCCCAGTACCAAGTTGACCGAGCTTTGCTCGAAGTGCATATACTTTTTAAAATTTTCAAGGTTTGGGTATCAAATACTGCTCATTTGGATAGCTTTAAAAAAAATATTTTGGAAAAAAATTTAAAAAAAAAAATTAGCTTTTGATATATAAAAAGTAAATTTCTTGCTTTACAATTTAAGTGGCAACCCAATTTAGAAATGATTGCTGATTGAAATTAACAAAATAAACATTTTTATTACATAGTAGTGTGGCAACGCTGATCGAAAATATTTCCGCACCAAAGTTCTCACCAATACCTTTAATTTAATAACCATGTTGCGATGTTTTAGGGAAAAATGTGTAGAATCGAAAATAAGTGGCAACCTTACACTAATATCCTAGGGGATAACACTCAGTACATGGGGAAAGCATTGTTTAAGAACCTTCTCTTGGTACCCATAATAGTAACAATACCAAAGGTATTGGCACAGTGAATTTTTCGCAATATATGCAAAGTTTTTTATTCTAATTTAATTTCGATAATTTTTTATAAAAATAAAGTCATACTACTCCAAAAAACATAAAAATTAAATCTCTAAACTTTGTGCAAAACTTGGGAAAATCCAATAAATTTGCATACTAATTTGCAACTTTCTATTCAGTTGCTAGAAAACGAGTTTATTTTTGGCAATTTTCCGCATATAAAAAATAATTGTAGAACATACTATATTTTGTTTGGAAGATCCTGCGTCTAAAAGGTCTGGATAGAAAGTCGCAAATTATTATGCAAATTTATTGGATTTTCCTGAGTTTTGCACAAAGTTTAGAGGTTTTATGTTTATGATTTTTGGTATAAAATGAACTATATTTTTATAAAAAATTAACGAAAATAAATTAAAATAAAAAACTTTGCATATATTGCGAAAAATTCACTGTGACAATACTTTTGTTCGTCACTGTATGTGTTGCAAGGAGGTACATTGCTACAATAATCTCTGCACTAACTGCCCTCGTGTTGACACTGACGACGTTAAAATTCAATTTGAAAATGTTAGCAGCAGTGCGCTTTTGCTTCAAGAATTGGTAATAGATTAAAATGGGCATCCAATATTAGGCTTTACAACATCAGTTTGAAAAACTCGCTCGTCTAAAAAAGCGTGCAGAGATCCTGTCCTATTGGGATGTAGGTTTTACCAAATGTCCCTCTCCCACATTGAGGTACAGCGTCGTAGTCGCAACTTCCTTCAGTGGTTGGTACGCGAGAAGTCATTCGATTACATGCACTTACTGACGGCATAAGTCCCTTTCATGCAGTGGCCTCGTAATAACACTCATTTCACGCCGAAGCAGTACTTGCTCTAGTCGGAAGAGTAGCCAGGTATTCTATGCTACATGTGGGCTCTGTAATGGGCATATTCCATTAGCCTTTTTAATAGAGCTATACTACTGCTAGTATTTAAAGGAACATATTCACTAAAAGCGCACTGATCCCAGACAAGACGGCTTTCTGCCTCAGCTGTTTGCGGCTTGGAATACATAATTAATGTGTGCTGGGTCTCAATGACCGAAATATTTAAGTATGTTCTTATTTCGTCTTTGTCGAGTGGGCGCATGTAAGCATCCACCCAATAATTTCGTATGGGTTCTTTAATGTTAAGCGGTCCCAACATTATTACGAAATAAAACTTCCATCGAAATTTTAACATTACTTACCTAAGGAGCAAAAGTACAACCAAATGCGAGTATATTTAAAGTAAAAATTGATAAATTTTAGTCAGTAGGAATTTTCAAATCTTCCTCGGGACCTCAGATTTTTGATAGCTTTAATTTTGCACTATTCAACACATCTCTTCAACTCGCTCTTCATATGCCATAAAACAGTTATTTATAAGCAATTATGAATAACCACAATATCGCTCAAATAAACAAAATAAATCATAACTCACCCTCAAAATCGCAATGATGTATGCGCCGCTTCTCCAACTCCGGGTTGTTACGCCGATTATAGCGCACCGTGCGTATCGTTGGCACAATCAAATTTGCCAGGTGTGCCGGTGTACTAGCACCGTTACCACGCCCTCGCCCCCGACTGTTACCCATTAGGCCACTACCACTGCCGCCGCCGCCGCCGCCGATACCATTGCTGTTGACGCCATGCAGTCCACTGCCGATATCGATGCCAACGCCAACACCGCAACCATTAGAGCCGAGCGTGGTGAGCGTACGTCCTGGACTTAAATGGTGTACGGAGGGGTGTAGTGGCGTCATTGTTGTCGTGCCATTCGTGCTCGAGTGCAGTGTTAAAATGTTGGGGCAAATACTTGAAAGTGGACGACCCTGTTGGTGATGTTGATGTTGATGTTGGTGCTGATGTTGGTGCTGTTGTTGTTGCTGTTGCTGTTGGAGCAGTTGTTGTTGCTGCTGTTGATAAGGTGGCGGTGGTGTAGTGCGTCGATTCGCTGACTGTTGTTGGGCATTGCTGCTGCCATTATTTGCCGCAGCTGCCGCCGCCGCCGCCGCCGCCGCTGCTGCTGCAGCCGCTGCCGCGGCAACCATTGAACTACCCGGACTTCCGGGATCTGAGCTGGGCGGCGTCAATGGCGGTACGAATATGTGTCGCGTTGACATTGAATTGCCGGTTGGTGCTGCAGGTGGGCAAAGTTGCGGATTTGATTGTGATGGCTGGTGTTGTTGTTGCTGGTGCAGCGTTGAGTTTGTTAGAGGTGGTGGCGGTATTTGGTATTTGTGGTGATACGGCTGCCGAGAAAAAATGGAGAAAACCAAAAAGTAAGCAAAACACGTAGGCGGTAATTATAACTGCGCTAATTGCATTCAGTCGGTGCTGAGCTACATTTTATTATTATTTAAATGCCATTGATTAATTCAATAGCAGATAATTGTTACACTGGTATACAAATTTTCAAATTCTTTTGTATATATGTAGAGTGCCTGATACAACACTGGTTAATGGGGCTATACTGGACCTATTCTAAATGCTTCTGAATTATTGATAGGAAGCAACTTTTTTAAAGCTTGTGCGGAAACCTGAACTCGGCAATCTATAGTAAAAACCTATGAGCATTTCTAGGTATTCATATACAAATCATTTTCGTTTCAGATATTTAACCCTTAGATATTTGTGGAGAGATTTTCAGGTTAATTTTTTGTGTCTATACATTTTCACGCAATTTGTATTTAAATTGTTTATAGGTATATGTTTGCCAGGATTCCGTTTAAAAATATGCTACAAAAACCATTTTTAGGGTAAAATTAAATTTCAATTCACTACTGGAATAATAATACACTTTTTTTACGTATAAAATTGGCTGTAGGTAGCAGAGATCGTAAGCGTTATGATTTTTATAATAAAAATCATAATTTTACCGTTAAAATGATATTATTATTTTCCCGGTGAAATTTTACGGTTATTTCATGACTTTCATTTTATATGATTTATATTTTTTCGTTCATATTATAACCGTTATTATCAAATTTAATTTTTTAGATCACAAGAGATTAATATCCGTCTTAAAAATATAGATGGATACTATATACACATAACGGTTAAAAATGATCGACAAAAACTGCAAAATAACGATTATTTTTGGACGAAAAAAATAACAATTATATTTGACCGAAAAAATAACAAGTAATTTTTAAGCAAAAAACAAAACCGACTTCAATTCTCATATACAAATTTAAGATTATCGTTAATTTCTTCACGATCCAATTATCGAATCTAAACCAAACCACCTGTGAGGTAACATCTTTCATTTAAAAAAAGAATTATCGAAATCGGTTAACTTGGTCCAAAGTTATGCGGTAACATACATAAAAAAAATAAAAATAATCCGAACTGATAACCTCCTCCTTTTTTGAAGTCGGTTAAAAATCCAAAAATTAAAGATTATTCTTGATCTTAAGAAATAAAAAAAAAAACATGAGGAATTTGCAATGTTCTAAGAATAAAAATGCTGGCATTTAACGGTTATTTTCGGTCCCTGTTACCTAGGGGTAGAGCCATCACCGCTAAGTTCCATTAAAGTCATGTTAAGTAAAAATTAAAATGAATTCCATGGCTGTCCACAGTTTACTGCAGTAAAATGTGTATGTTTTATATGTTGCCAACAACGGTTCTTCGTCTTTGTGCAGATGATGTCGTCGAGCATTTGAGGCTTTGTTTGCGAATATGTAGTTTGGTTGCGACTGAAGTTTTCTGTGCTGAGCAGGATAGAAATCTATCAATGGATCTATCTCAAGGGTATTAGTCCAAAAATGCATATCGATGGTCCTCTGCAATAGCAAGATAACTCAAAACTAAAAAAAACCCCTTACTACTAAACAGGAGCACATGTCTCTAGTCCTCTTCTAACCCTTACTAGTTATTTAAAACTGCTTTATAAAAACTTAGTAAAGATTAGACATGGGTAAGACTGAATAAGAAAAAGATTAGAGACATCAGTCACTGTTACGATATTGGTCCGGTCACTCTCCAGGGACAGTACTTCGATAAAATCGAACTAGTTGACAATTCCACAGAAGGTTTTCTGCGCTCTAGCAATGCGCGTCATATACCTTAATACAACAAAAACAGCCAGTATAAGTAATAACTAAATTTCAAAGGTACTTTTAATAATTTTAATTTTAATGAAGTAGCAGCCTATAGATACTGTATGTAAATGAAAATGATGTGCCGGTAATATCGACCAGAATAAACCTTCAAAAAAGTTGAAGAATCCTGTTTATATCTATGACTAGCTCATGGCTTGTGTTAAAACAAACCTCAATTTTTAGTACCGAGAAAAATGTTAACTCTCTGCTGGCTAAACGAAAGAAACGCGGTGACCAACGAACGGAGAGAAGTAAGAGAGGTTGGATTCGCCTCTTTTTGGCAATTCCGTTTGCAAGAGAAATTGGGATACAATCAAATTCGTTAAGTAAGTCTGCTTGGGTGCAAAATATATGAAGTGGCCGTCGTGTATAAGTGAATAAAACATCTCCCCCCACCCAAAATTTGTAGCACAGTGTAACCGCAATAAATATGCAACTATGTATAACTCAAGCGAGCTGCACACTCACCTGATTGCTGTGCCAACTATAACCGTAGCCTGCATTCAAGTTGTTATTCATTGTGGCGTTATTGTTATTATTATTATTGCCCGCATTGCCATCCAGCGACGTTGCCGCCGTTAAGTTGGTCAACGTTACGGACGTGCTGATTGTCACATTCGCCGCAGAGGATGAACCACTGCTACCACCACAACCACCGCCATCATTGAGATAATTATTGTTGCTACTTAAATGTTGTTGTTGTTGTTGAGATGCATATTGTTGATAGGAAATATTATTGCTATTATTATTATCACTGCCATTTAAGGCGCCACTAACACCTGCACCACTACTGCTGCCACTCAGCTCAGCATTGTGACTGCTCGCGGTGCTACTGCAACGATTTGGTTGATTAGGACTATTGCTATTGCTGCTATGCAAGGAGGCGGCCATATGTTGCTGCTGCTGCTGCTGCTGATGATGTTGCTGATGTTGCTGATGCAATTGCATTAGCGTTATAGTATCATCACCGTTGGCGAGAGCAACATCTGCAACGCCGCTATTGCCACCTAAACTGGGATGGTGTTGATAGAGGTGTTGCTGGTGTTGTTGTTGCAGATGCTGTTGCTGCTGCTGTTGCCCAATGTGGTGGTGCTGTGATGGCAGTTGATAGTGCGCATAGTGTTGTTGTTGTTGTGCGTGCAGGTGTGTGTGTTGCTGTAGCGCTGGCTTCTCCGTCTTGATCTCCATGGGACTGAGCAATGGGGTGGACAATGTTTCCAGCAACGTATCATCGAGTGCCTCCATTTTCACTTGTGGCAGCAGTGTGTTGGTCGCATCCAAGCCACTGCTGCCGGCATTGCTAGTGGCACTGCTGCTGTTGCCGCTGCCACCGCCGATGAGCGCTAAGTGTGATGTCGCGCCACCGGCCACCGTTGAACTTGAGCTTGAGCCGAGCATGAGCGCATTCTCAGGATCGATATTTTGTATTGAGCTGGCGATATCCTCCCACAGCGCTGGCCGTTGGTAGGGATCATCGAGGTCAGCGTAGGGATTGCAAAGAGCCTCTTTGTTTTTGGTATCTGGAGAAGAGAGAAGAAGAACTTAATTAAAGGTCATAAAAATGGTGTAGAAGTCAAAAAGCTTCAAAGGAACGCTGCCTAAACTATAAACTTATGAGCGACTAAATAAATGAATAGCTAATGCGTATTAGTCTCACGTCCACTGTGGCGCAGCCGAAATTTCCATAGTATTTTTCACACCTTTTAAAGGCTATGAAGCTTGAACAGTGAGCAATTCATAAAAAAGAGAAACCCATCATTCACAGCTGCTGTAGTTTTCGTTAATCGTATGCCAAGGTAAATATTGATTACGAAGCAAAATTTAGAAACGAAGCAACATTAGCTACGCATTGGCAATAACAACAACCAAGTTATGGAAATCAAATTTAAACTCCCTTTAAACAGCTTATGAGCTTGAGCCTCGACGTGTCAGTTCGACTCGTTGACACTTTGTGATCAAGTAGCAACAACAAATTATACATATTAAAAAAGAAAAGGAAGATAAAATGAGTGGAAGGTTTTCGTGCTTAGATTTGGTTTCAAATTTCACAGCTGAATAAATTATTTGTGGCGTATTCGCTGAGCTGGGCTGACAAGAAAATGCTAATGCTGGTAAATAACGGTAAATAAAAATCAATTTTGTCGCTATTTATTTTAACGATTTCACTCTTTAGCTTTCAGCGGTGTAGTTGACAACAAAATATATTAAAGCTGCAAAAAATTTGTAAAAAAATAAGCATAATACATATTATGTTTTCAAAAGCAAATATTTAGCATGATATCCATTTATTTTGGTTGAAGATCATGTCATCGACTACGAACAAACTACTCATGTTTACTAATTTTTATTAATAATACTTTTTGGTTAGTCTAAGTAATTTATTGAGCGAAAGCACTAACATTGTCTCTTCCTAATGCAGCTGATTCAAAGATGTGGAATATAGGACTAGCGATGGGCCTACAGCTAAAGAGGAAAGGCTCGATTTGAAAAGGAATTTCGGTATTGACTTTTCTGGTCTTTCAAGTAACACTTGGGTGTATTGCAGCTGCCTTCAGAAACCATTAGAATTACGTAAAATTGAGCAGAGCTTTGAGACCCGATTCAGGGTCTGCTGTAAGCCTCGAAAACGCGGTTTATGCAAATAAGAAAAAATCGGGCATGGTAGTATAATTTTCCCATTCCCATTTGGCATCCAAGAACACTCTTGCCACCCACTAAACACTGTAATGCCTTCAGGGATCTTTCTCAAGCAATATTTTTTTTTATCAATCTTTTTTTGTACTGACTATGCGATGCAGTTTTCTCATACAATGTATGTACATATGTACGCTCGACAAATTTTTTTATGAAAGACACTGTCAGCAAAAACATTACCAAAATGCAACGCGATTATTTCTCACCTTAAAGCTTGCCTTTTATTGTACTAAAATTTAGTTGGCTAAAACTGCATACTCAAAATCTTTCTACATAGAAGATAATTTAAAAAAAGTATAAAAGAATAGTAATTGCAGAGATTTTTCGAAACTTTTTAAAGCTCTGGAGGCGGCCATAATACGGTTCGCTGTAATCTTCTGATGCAATTTTTCGTATTATTAGAAGTCGAAAAAATTAATTTGTTGACTAAAGCTGGCGTCAGATAAAACGCTTGCTTCGTTTTGCGTGACAGATTCGCTTTGACAAAGGGCTTACAAATTCTTTGATGATAAATGTGGTGGTAAGTTTCTACAAAAATTTTAGGTATAATTTTTTTTATCTTTTTTAATTTAATTTACCTATAATTTTTATATTTTATGGTTTTAATATGAAAAATATATTTCTTTTATTTTACTTTATTTTTAGGAACTTATTTTTTATCTTCTTTTAATAAATTTATCTTTTTTTGTTTTTCAGTTTAATCTTCTTTTAATTTTTAGAATTTTGTCACATACAAAAAATGTTTTAAATTTCACTAAATTTTAGATTTGTTTTTAATCTAATTTGTTTTAATTTTGTTAATTTAATTTTTTTTTTAATTTGAGTATTTTATTGCTTTATTTTTTTTTATTTCACTTAATTTTAAGGGACCTATTTTTTCGTTTTAAATTTGTTTTTCTTTTCTTAGTTCCATTTTTTTTAATCTTGAAATTTATTGTTTTACAAAGAAAAAAACTTGTTTGATTTCATTTAAGTCTTAGAATTTTATTTTATTTATTTTTCCTTTTTTTAAATCAATTTGTTTTTCTTGTGCTAATTTCATTTAACTTTAATTTTTATACTTCACCAATTTTAAAAGAAAAATATATTTTTTTATTTCATTTTATTTGTTGCCTTTTTAAATTTAATTTTCTTTTAATTTTTAGATTTTGTTTTAAAAATAAAAATATATTTCTTTTAATTTTATGTAATTTTAAATATCAACTACTCTAATTTTTTATTTAATTTTTTTCTTTTTCTAATTAAATTTTTAGATTTTATTCTTATAAAAACAAAAAAATACTTTTTTAAACTTCGAGTGATTTAAAAAAAATATATTTTTATTTATTTTTGCTTTAATTTCATTTCATAATTATGTTCTTCTTTAATTTAACTTACTTATATTTATAAGTTATTATTGTTTTAAATAGGAAAATATGTACTTTATTATTAATTTAGTTTAAAAAAAAAAACTTATTGGTAAAAGGTGAAAAGCATAACGTTAGCAGATCTGTCAATTAGTCTTTCAAAAGAAATTAAAGAGCTTTTAAGACAGTTGCCAGATCTGACAATTATCTTACGAAGGCCTTTTTTCTTCCCAAAGAAAGTTGAAAGACAGTTGCCAAAATTGCCCTGTTATATTAAAGTTTCTGTGAATTTTCTGGCACACCTATATTAACTACCTGAATTAAAAACCAAAACATATTTTTACATATCGGTAGCATAAATAACATAAAGCAGTACGAAAAGTAAAACAAACTATTAAGCCTTCATCGTAAACTTACCAAATAAATATTCCTTATCGGCTACCGACACTGCGGTCGCCGACGCCGTCGCACCATAGGCGCTGGCTATTTCATATGCCACTGCCGCACTGCTGTCGTACGCAGACGCACAACCCGCATATGACACATTCGCACTCGCATGCGGAGAGTTTGAAGTATCGGCGGGATTATCACTAGCCGAGGCGGACGTTGAGGATGATGACGCGGCATTTTGTTGCACAGCGCCAGCGCCAACTGAGGCAGAGGATGTTGACTGCGAGAGTGCTGTAACCGTTGTGGATGCCGACACCACAACCGAGGTGGATGCCGATGAGTGTTGAACATAAGTTGCATGTTCATGATTGCTACCGCTACCACTATTGCTATTATTGGCAGCGGTGATGGCGGAGGTGGTGGCAGAGTGATGCAACTGCTGCTGATGCTGCTGCCAATGATCGAGCGTATTACTGCCACTATGATTGCTTTGCGGCGAAAACAATTGATGCTGGTGTTGATGCTGATGCAAATGCTGATGATGATGCTGATGATGGTGCAGGTGATGGTAATGGTGGTGGTGGTGTGGCGCGGCGGCGGATAATACTTCAAGTTCAACGTCTGGCTCGATTTTGTGCAAACGACCCATCAGCTCATGCCGATAGTCAAATTCGGGGGACTGAAAGTAGAGAGAGAAGAAGATGATGGGAGTTATTAAATACAATTTTTTGGGGTTGAAATAACTAAATAATTTATGCGTAATATTTAAAAGAGCCAGAATACATTAAAGCCAATAATTAAAATTTTTTATCAAGGAAGTCCTTTGTTGCACCTCGATTTCGTTAACGTTATTAAATATTTGTTTGCTCACTTGGCTTCCCATCTAACTAGTTTTATTTGTAATTCGACAAAGGTATGATAGTATAACAGAAAATCCAGTGAACTTCTCAAAAAAAAAAATTGTATTTCGAAAACCTCCAGAAAAAAATGTAACCTCTTCGAAATGCCGAAAAAATCCTAAACAAATCATAAATAAATCCCCAGGAGTCCGGAAAAAATTGCTACTATGTAATTCCAAAAAGCTTAAAAAAATATCTAAAAAATATTTGCAGAAAAACTCCAGGAACCCCTAAAAGTTCTAAAAAAAATACAAACAAAACATACTAAACTTCGTAAATTCTAAAAAACTGGGAAATTTTCTCCGTAATATATAAAATTCCAATGAAATTACAGAAAATGTTCTAAAAACTCCGTTTAAATATTCGTAAGACATCGCTAAGCATAAAATACTTAGAAAACTTTTACAAAAACTGCAAGACGTCCGGAAAAAGCTTCGAAAAATCGAGGAAAAAATTCCAAGGTTCACAAATTATCACACAAATTTAGAAAAATTCAGAATAAATGAAAGAAAAACATTCAAAAAAACAAATTATCTTTATTTAGTTCCGAAAAGTCTTGAACAATCGCCTAGTTCTCCCAAAACATCCTGGAAAGGCCTTGGGAATTTCTGTAGAGTACATCGAAAACTTCAAAGCGTCCAAAGGATTTAGAGAATGAAAGTCACAAATAACAATAAGTCTTCACAAATACCCAAAAAGGCGCAATAAAGAGCTGTAGATCTGCAACAATAATTTGTAATGCCGAAAAATTATGAAAATTGCAGAAAACTACAAAAATATACTCAAAAGATTTCATAACCAAATTTGAAAACATCGGCGAAAAGATACTCAAAAATTCTAAATACAAGATACCGAGAATCTTCAAAGGGTTTTAAGAAAATGTACCTATGACAAAATTTCATGTTACCTAGGGAGATGGGCTGTTCTCAAAAAATCCTGGAATGAGCTGTGAAATTTCAAAAATATCTCGAAAATCCCAAACAATTTTAAATATATGTTTTATTAATAGAGAAAAAACTCAAGATGTACCTACATTAAATTAAAATCCAAAAACAAGTCACAAAAAAGCCACAAAAATTTAAAACAGTAAGAACTAATTCCGATAATACCAGAAAGATACTATAATTTATTTTTAATTATTCCGAAAAATAATAAAAAAATCCCTAAAGAGTTCTGGAAAAGTGCTCGATAGAGTCGCGTAGAATCCCAAAAATACTATGTTAACCCAAAAAATGCATGAAATTTGCAGAAAAAAAATCCGAAACTTAAACTAAGAGGGAACCCAAATACCGTAAAAAGGTTTCGAAAATCTTCTGTAGACATCCAAAGAAAATGCTTAAGGTTGAAAAATTTTATTTCAAAAACACCCAAGAATATTGTGAATATAAGAATCTTGAAAAAAATTACAAAAAAGCGGCAAACATTTAAAAAAATAAGAGTTAGACTTTAAGAGTCATAACGTAATCCCAAGACCTTTGTAAATATTTGAAGATTTAAAAATTAAGATTAAAAAGAGTAGCATAATTCTTTTGAAAATGAAAAACTCGAAAAACACACACAAAAAACTGCAAAATCTGCGTATACTTTTGTCGTACCAAAAGAAGAGATATTTTATGTCAAATTCAATGCTTTAAAATTCGTCCATCGAAGGCCACAGAAAGTGTCCGAAATGGACGCAACCTTTGCAGCATTAATACAGCTAATGTGCACATCGATTAACATTACTGATGCTGAAACTGTTAAAACTGCTGATGCAAGTGTTAAATTTCTTGTTGCTCTGACATGAAAGATAGCGGCAGCTATTGAATGCGCTTGCAAGACGCGCGTGCTCAACTCGGGTGCGTCATCAATGGCCGCAGCAGCCGTCAAACTGTGGCATACACCATGTCAGCAACAGCGATATTGTCACCAGTGTTGTTGACGTCTTTGAGGCCACTGTGGCTGCTGTGCGTTGCAACAAGACTTGTTTCTGCCACGCCACCGCTACTGCTGAGTTCATTCATTCAACGTTTTTATTGCCGTCAACTTTATTGACAACAGTGCATAATTCGTTGTTGCCACTTCCTTACCTTTTGCCTTGTTGCATGTATGTATGCACCTCTTCGCCGCATTTTCGCCTTTGTCCTCATTTGCTCTAAGGTCATATATTATCGCCTACCTGTTTTTTCTCCTCTACTTTTATTTGTTTATTCAGAACGTATATATGCGTACGTCACGCACTTGCTGCCGCATACATATATTAAGCGCTGGTGATATGTATTAACGGCCGCAGCAATGGTGCAGCGCAGAGGCTCTTGTGGCAGCTAACATAAAATAGTTGAATGTTTATATGCTGGTGCAGCGATAACTATACTATACTACAATGATAGCACAACAGCAGTACCACAACAGCATCCGCATGAAGAAACAGTTACTTGCACACACACAAACACACTTTCAAGTACATTTATGCCACGCGCTGCAAGTTATGGGCTCTTCATGTGCGCCTTTTTGCTTAGCTCCAATCTTTCTTTGTCGCTTTCCTTATGCTACTCATTCACCTCTACTATGGCCATTGAATTGTTTTTATTGTTTCTCCTACATTTATTTACGTGCAGTTTAGTTATTGTTATTGTATTTTATATTGTTGTTGTTAATTTTAATTGATTTTCAATGCGCGCTTCGTTATAAATTTTCATTCTTATCTTTATGTTTGGAAATTTTTTATCGTCTTATATACGCGTGCCAAGCTGTAGCTATGTATGAAGATTGCATGCCGCTTTAACTACAACACCGCGGCGAGTTGGCTCATTGACTGCGGAGTTGTATGGCTACATTTTCTTCATAAGCGCGCACATGGCTACACACATACATATGTATGTATGTGCGCGCATGCCACATATGTGGTAAGTTTAGCCGCCGCTATATTATGCTCTAACGCTCTTGCTATTGCCATTGCTATGGCTGCTATTTCCGTTGCCATTCAGGTGTTGGGGAATTTAATTTGATTATCTTTTGCTGCACAATATTAATTAAAATGTTTATGCGTTTAATGCATTGCCTGACATTTTTGACACAGATTCAAGAAATTAGCGCAAATTAAAATTGATCAATGTAAAATAGGTTTATGGTGTAATTAATATGTCTCTGCATTAGAGGAAAAAATTATGGCTTAGATAAAATCAAAGAAAATACTGGAATGCTGTAATTGATACTAAATTTTATCTTCTTAAAAAATATAGTTAAATCATGGTTGCGACTTAATTGTGTTCAAAGCAGATTTGTTGCTTCTTTGTAAAGGTTAAAAATATTCTTCTTTATCAAAACTAGCTAAAATATCTGCCAATAGACCAGCTGGCGAAGGATTCGATGAACAATTGCCACTATGGCCAAGAGAAATAGAAGAAGAATGTGGCAGTGCAAATCGGTAATGTAAGGAAAACGGCTACATGAGCCTTCCCTCAGGTTGTGTTTTTTTTTCTCCTCTGTTATGGAAACTCATGCTAACTGATATATTTACAAACACCTATCAGCTCACTGGACTGCTGAAGAGCCCCATTAATAGTGGCGATAAAATGCAAGTAGTTTAGCTACCAAATTTGCTACCCAATGCAATAAATACAACGCAATTAAAACAAAAAATTGGACTAGGAGTAGTTTTTTAGTTAGTATTTTTTTTAAATTGGTGAAAAGTCGTACAAATTAAATTATGCAAGAAAATTGTCTAGATTTTCTTAAGTTAGCTCTCTTTAGATATAGGTGTGCAATATGTCCACTGACTTCTGTGTGACAAGAAAAGGTGCAATGAAGTCATTTCTTTAAAAAAAGCCGCTACTTCAGTAAGAATGCGATTCAACCCGCCAGCATTGACTTCTGTCGCAGCAGCCGTAATCAAAAGGAAATTCAAAGTATAGAGCATTATCACTGTCATAGCGCTGCCTTAAAAGGGTAGAAGAATATCGCTTCACGATTACTTCCATCAATTTCTGTCGGATCTACGCACAAGAGCCATAGTCAACCATTTCAATTTTTAAGTGAGTTATTGCACTCCTTTATTGTATGCAAACAGTGACTTAAACCTAGATTAACGCATGGATATGTCAGAACAACAGACACAGCGACCTGAAAGGCCTTTTGCATCTCTAAAGGGCCTCCTTAACTCAGGATGCCCAAGATAACTTCGATTTTCCTATTGAATCCAAAGAGCTTTGGTAGTCAAGTTTTTTAATTCTAGGGTTTGATCAATGGCGCATTTAAGTAAGCTATCGGCCGCTGTGGTGTTATAGGTAGGAGTGCGACCATCAAAACAAAAGAAAAATAAAACATCAATATGCAAAACTGCTGTCGTACTTGTTTGGCTTTATTTAAGTACTTATTTTTATGATGGAAAATAATAATTTTTTTAATTTTAACCAAAAAAATCAACATGTTATGAGAGTCGTAAAACAGTTTTAACTATACTGAATATACTACTGTACACTATAGTACAATAATTTTTATTTTTTGAGTTTAAACAACAAAAATTTTAAATAATAATTAATACTTGAGTTAAATTTTTTTCGCTGAAAAGAAATTATTATTACCTGATTTAAGCTTTGCTCGTTGTTAAGCTAATGGGAAAAACAGGTTGCTCGCTTAAGTCTTTTGTTTGCCATAAGAAAAGATTTGCGCAAAATTGAACTAACAAAGCCTTATATTTTGTGACAACACATTTCTATTAAATAATAATAATCTTCTGGTTAAAAACATAGGCAATGTTCGCATATATTTAAGCTAGGTGGAGATAAATATGCAAATATTTTGACTTTTGTGCACAAAATTCATTTAGCTACTGTGTTACTTCTTCAGCTTTTCCACCTAAAAATACGCTGGTTTTATTGTGATTAAGGCTTTTGTCCATATAATTAATGTAAAAAGAAATTATATTTAAGGCTTAGCAGTTTTATTTTTTGATAGAAAAACAATAACAATTTGCTTAAATGACAAATCGTTTGAGTTGTATATGAAAAACAAAGAATTATTAATTGATTGACGTCTAAACAAATTGTTTTTATTAAAATATACAAAATCGGAATATTTAAAATAAATACATATTGTTAACTAGCAAGCAATAGTCATATTCTCTTGCCCCTGCACATACACGAATACATACATACACACATATGTACATGTGTATTTATGATTATTCGCTCTCTTGCCTACTGAAATTTATGCAGCTGCGTCAACGATTAAGATTTCAACACAAAATCGTGCAGCAGCCCAGTTGACCCAGAAATTGTTGCGTATTGCGCGTTCAAAAAGCCACTAAACCAACGAAAATGAATTGAATTGAATTAAGTTGCATGCTTGTTCTAATATTTTTATTATTGCAATGATTTTTTTTCATATTTATTCTGCATGTACATACATACATATTTTGTTGCCACAACAAACTCGTACTTTTAGGGCATTTGGCGACGCTGGTGGACGGCCATATAATAAATTCTTACACGCCATTGTCCAACACAATGCTGGAGCGTTTTTTGCATATGCGCCACTCAACAACGAAAGCGACGACGACGACGCCAGTTGTCCTAGACGTTATGTGCAGTTGCAGTTGCCGCTATATTCGAATAACTAACTGCTATGGCTGCTACTGCTGTTGCCACTGTATAGCGCTGCCGCTAAAACCATTCTTCTGTTTCCACTCATACTCGTATATGAGGTTGACTCACTCACTGCTTAGAATAACTACATACTTCGGTGAACTTACGAATATTTATTTTTGCAACAAATCAGTGAAGACAATAGACAGACGCTAGCAATTTTAAATAAAGCAAAGCCAAAGAACACGGCGGTTTCGGCAACAACAGTAACTGCAACAAAAATAATAATAACATTATTGCATGAAAAAGCGCGCGAGCAAGCGCACATTAAGTCGGTCATTTGCATGCAAATACGTAGTGGAGAGGTTGAAATACAAACAAGAATGAAAATAAAAACTTATACAACAGCGAATGTCAAAATAAACAGAAGCAAATGCCGAACGGTAGCATTGAAAGAAGCAACAAATCTTTTGTAGATTTGCGCTTGTCAGAAAGAAAAAACAAAGGCGAAAATAGTAGCAAATAGCGGATGCCAATAAACAAGCAATACGCTCGGATTCCTGTAGCAAAAAAAATAAAAAATAAAATTAAAGTAAAAAAAAAAAATAAAAATAAAAGCTAAACCGCTCTGTGCAAGTTATGTATGTACATATAGCATGTGTGGCATATGTTTGTACATATCTCTACATACATAGGTATGTGTGTAAGCTCATAAAGAGCGCGCTCGCAATACATTTGGTAAGACAGCAAAACTTGACAGTTGACTCGTGTTGCAAGATATATTGAGCATTTGTTGGTGATGCCAATGCAGTAGGAGCGAAGGGTGACATGCTGTAGAGAAGCGCGCAGCAACATGTTGCTAAGACTTTTGCACAAATCAGACACAAATGGCATTAAAAACTTAATACATACATACGAATAAATTATTTAATTAAAAAAAAGGAATTTGTTTTAGCTGATTTTGTATGGCGTTCATTAAGTGAAAACCTTAATAGCAGATGACCGGAGTTGCCACCTGGAGTTCAATATTTATTTCTCTGCTCCAAAGAGAGAGATAATAATAAACATCATTCAATAGGATAATTTTTTGGGCACATTCGGCATAGTTTTTCAGTATCATCAAAAAAGCGAAATAGCAGAAAACTTTTTGAATAATTTCGCTCAGACTAGTGCAGTGGAAAGCTATTTTTTTTTCGGAAGCTCATACATGTGGGGAGTGTCCGCAAGTGATAGTGCTACTCCGATGCGTCCCTTTATAAATAATGACAATTCAATAATATCCATAATTTGATAAATTTATTTATCTTAAAAAATTTCGATAAACCCATAAATTGTTAAGCTCGATAACTAACCGTAAATTTTGACAACTAAGTTTCTGTGTCTATAAATAACGACAACTCAATAAACATAGATCAATTTGAATAATTCGATACATTGCG